TGTAGGAATATAACACAGGCGCATACTGTAATACGGCACTTACCCTGTACTCTAATGTAAGCCTCCGCAGTGACCGTGCGCTGCTGTGAGGTAGCCTCGCACGTGTACCATCCCCCGTCAACTTCCTTGACGCCGCCGATGTGCAACCAGCCCTGGTCCGTCTGCGTAGTGTTGCTCTTCTTCTGACCAACCACGCTATACCGAGTGCAAAAACGCAAAGATGGCAGTCCACAGCAAAGACGCAAACATGGCGGCCAACGTAGTTCAATACCTAACTCAACATAAGGTTTGTGTAGAAAATAGTCCTGTCTGCCCGGGTAGATATAGACAAGTAGCTCTAGTCTAGCATTATTGTGAAAGTTCCAGAAAATCATGCTTGGCAACAAAGTGCCGCAACGTTGACAATTTGACATGCATGCCTATAGGGGACATAAACTGGCCCGCCCTAATCAACATAGCAACTATATTCAAGAACAGGGGTATTTTGCTTGCGAGAAGGATAGGTTGATCACAAGCAGACACTGAGTATGGCTCAGTATTCTCTGACCAACATAACGAAATTTTGTCCGAGCCACATTTTTCCGTATACGGCCTACCATAAACAACGTAACTATTGCCTACCTTGTGAAAGATTCCTTTTTAGTCCCGTGCCTTATGTACCAGTTGATGATTGGTTGTTGCCTAGCAACCGCTTCGCAAGGAATAGTCACGGAGTCCGAAACATTTACGGTTGTGTTGTAGGGTAACTTGACAAACACGGGAACGTCTACAAAAAATGTATTGACCTAGCATCGGTGTGATAAGCAAACGAAATCACTTCAGGCGCTATGCGAGCTGGAAAATTAATATGTGATTATAATATAGATGTGTGCCATCTTGCAGGTTTATATCGTTATACGAATAGTTTAATAAACTGTGAGCAACACCTACTCAGCACCTATTCAAACTAAACACTGCACCAGCTCATAACTTCTGTACAATCGGTGGTTTAACATCGCAACCTGTTATGCCTAAAATCAGTGTTTGCTGCTCAGAAGGTTTCACAATTATTTATTAAAGATTAATTAATAACATATAATAATAATAGAATTAATTAATATATAATAATAATAGTAATAATAACATAATTAACTAGAGCACTCGGAGAGCGCAGACCTCCGCCAAGGCAGCTCAATTCTCTCACTGAAATTTTTTATTAATTAATTGGATCCGGATTACCACCAAAATGTAATCAATTCTAAGTTACCCCATTTCTGACATATCCTGAAAATTTTATTAATTAATTAATTAATTGGATCCGGATCACCAAAATCTCATCATTCTAAGGTTAGCCATTTTGACCTATCCTAAAACATAGCAACCGTCATAACTTTTTTAGTTAAGGCGTGTACCACAAAAAAAACAAACGCACAAAACAACAAACACACGCCGGTGAAAACATAACTCCTTCCAACCCCTTGTGGACCGTATTCAAAGTATATAATCAAGACGCGTATCTATCCGCCTCTTGATATAATAATATATCAGTAAGTCAGATAAGTCATTAATAATATATTACTTTTCTTATTTTAGTTAGCATTTTAACTAATAATCTACAGGGTGTGTTGGATAACCGTAGTAGGCTTTGCGCCCGTACCCGGCTTCGTTCTCTGCGAGGCACGTGTATTCGCCGAGGTTCGATCTTCTCAAGCCGTGAATGATGAGCGTGTGGCGCGGACATCGTATGGCCATGTTCGAGTTCTCGCATGTTGCCGAACAACGAACAGCTACATATCGATCTGCACGCGCGGCAGCTTTGAGACGATTCATCGATGTTGCCGTTAACCTAATAATAACGAATATGCACACAACCGCGGCCACACACACACGCCGCGCACCACACACGCAACACACGGAACTTGCGCGCCGCACAACACACGCCAAACACCACGGAACTTGCGCACCGCACGCACATACCACAGGCAACCGCACACCCACAACACGCACACACCACAACAAATACAACGAACCACACACACACACAAGACAACACACCATACAGCACACACACAACACACACACAACACACCACACACACACACGCCGTGCGCGCGCACCGCACAATACACAGGCGCGCACACACACGCCTGCGCTACAACTCACGCACGCACACACACACACGCACACACACACACACAATCACACACCACACACCACACCACGTGCAGGGCGGCCGCGGCGCACCCACACACACGCGACACACACAAAACGGCCGCGCGGCGCACGGCATATACACAACGCCAGCTCACACACAACATGCACGCACCACACACACACACACACACACACACACGATGCACACACACACCCCACACTCACACACGCTACACACAACGCAGCCGCGCCCGGCGGCACACACACCAACCCCGCCCACCCGCACACACACACCACGCGCGCGCGCGCGCACGCACGCACGGCACACCACGCAACACAACGCAAAGCACACCACACACCATCGATACACACCACACCTCCGTGGCGCGCGCACGAACATACACCGTGTGCATGCACACATGCACGCACACACACACACTCGATACACATCAAACGGGGTGCGCGCGCACGCACATAGCACCACGCGCACACCACACACACACCCACCCACGCACGTGGCGCCGCGCCTACACACCACACACACACACACACACGCACGGCACACACCACACACACGCCCACACCACAGCACTTACCACCAGCTACGCTGCTGCGCACACACACGCGACAGCACACAAACTCGTGGCGCCCGCGGACCGCCGACACACAGCACACCACACACACACAGCACACATTACACACCGCGGCCGCCCAGCCACACACACACGCACGCACGCCACTCCATCGCATACATCAACAACACCACACACACACACATCATCACACAACACAACAACACACAACACACGCACACGCGCACGCAAGATAGGCATCAGACAGACAGGCACAGCACGACAGTGATAGTAGCAGTGCAAGTACCGAAGTATCATAGCCAGCCTCTATCCCCTTCAGCGCCAATGTCGATAGGGGACGGGTGGCTCTTCGCCGCTCTTCATCCTTTCCTCGCTTCTTCTCCTCTGCAGGTTCATCTCTCTGAGTCTCCGTCTCTCACTCCTCATCATCCTCAATTCTCCATCTCTCTGTCGCTACGTC